ACTAGCGTCCGAAACGTCAGTAAGTTTTTTCATCTTTTCACGGTGTATAATTTTCCTTTTCATCATTACTGTTTCAATAAATCAAGCTAGTCCCAGAAAACAACATTCAGAATCTTATAAAGAAAACGTCCACCAGAAAGAAACCACTTATAAAGAAAACGTCCACACCCACCACCAATCAGCGCGCGAAATATTTTTAGCCTAGCTAGCAGTGTAATGGACCAGTGAAATAGATTGAGTTGCACTCCCCTAGTACGTAATTTTCCCCTGATTTCAATTCACTTACAGTTCTTCAAGATATCGCAAGCTCCTGAAAGTATTCTTTGAGACTTTCTTCAATTTGTTGTTATTCAAATACCTGAAACACAAGTCTTCAAACATTATTAAACCACTCCTGTTTATCATTCTGGTTGAAAATCCCTATGCTTAAAATCACCAACCAATGCATGATGTTGGCTATAGTGTCACTCCAAGATTAGTGAAAATATGTCTACAATAGCCCTCTTTAGCTTAGGCACAATTTGTTGCCCATTTCAGACCACGTGTCATTCCCTWGAGTATCTTTTTTCATTGACATGGATGCAAATGAAACAATAATCATATTCTTAAAGGAAAGTCACGTGACCTGAAATGATGTAAACAAACGCTCCAAGCTATCAGAAGTCTAATTTCTGATGAAGCAATAGTACTTACAGAACTTTGAGACTTTCTAAGCTGTCAAAAACTCCATCGGGTAAGGCTTCAATTAGATTGTTTTGRAGATATCTAAATCAGRTTTAGAACAGATTTTGAGAATTATAATCCTTTTTTGCTAAAAAAGGCAATATCGTAATCGCAATCGAAGCTAATAAACTTACAAATGTGTTAGGTTCTTGACAAATCCAAATGCTTGTTTCTCGATATGGCTGATTTGATTGGATCGGAGACTCCTGTTAACGACCAATAACAAAACGAATTTACAATTATTGTGATGTGAATGATATGGTTCAGTAGATACCAAAAGCTATAGGGCTACGCGCTATAGGTGGTTCCTGCAATCTTAACCGAAGCCTAGTAATGATGCTTCAGTAGTCCTGTAGCATGACATGAGAAGAAGAAGGATATCGTATTTTTTACCAAATTCAATAATCGATTGCATACTTACAGGACTTGAAGATTTTGGAGATTGTACAGTGACTTGTACTTTATGGTGCTTAAAAGATTACTACCTAAATCACTGATAGAAAGAAAATGTGTTTTTGATAACTGCTCTAGATTTAATCCGCAGTTATTGTCTGTAAAACCAAGACTGCCTTGCGAAGGACATAGCCTTACTTTTGCAAAACCGAAAAAACAGGTTCGTTTACTCCCCATTTATGCAAAGAAGAAAAATAAATCAAAAGGACACATGGCTATCGCCGTCCTTTATGCAAAAAAATAGACCAACGTGTTGCGGGTGCAGTATTGTAAGATAGGGGCTCAACAAACGCCTTTTCCTGCATATTTCCTTCATTTTAACGACAAGGCATTATTAAATTTTACTGAGCGTCAAGAACATGATCGTCTTCACAAGGAAGGGTTCCCTGCTGGAACCCACTCCTGGATCCTCTATCGTTAAACTGATCGCGACTAAAGAGATCTCCATTATGTGATGTCTTTTCTCGAGTGTGATTGATTCTTATATATATATATATATATACATTTTGCAAACAACTGAGAGGCTCTTTGTAACTTTGCTGATTTAATATGGATTTTCCGTAAAACAACAGCAAGAAAATGTACACACAAGAAAATATATTTAAAAATAAATTAAAAAATTAAAACTAACAAACAAACAAAGAACTTACAGCTTCTGTAGCCTTGACGATCCAGTAAATACGTTTGGCTGAAGCTCCTTRATAAAATTGAAATCCAATCGTCTAAATTGAAAACAAAGGGGAAAAAACAAAACAAATGTAACCATTAAAAATCGATACTAAAATACATACTGGATGAGAGAGAAAAGAAGAGAAAGAAAGAGAAAAAAGGTAAACAAAAGAAAAGAAAAGAAGAAAAAAAAAGGATGAAAATGAGAATTAAATATAAGTTTATTGGAAAACATTACCCCCGTTCACACCACACCTATTAAGGTGTTCAAAAGGTGTTTAGATTAGCTAGTAGCCGTTCCCACCACACTTACGGCTAACTAAAGAAGTTTCAAACCTTGTTTAACTAAACTACCTCGTGGAGGTTGTTTTAATCAATTTTAAAGATAGCGGTAAAAAAACGAAGGATGAGAGATTAGCTACTAAATAAGGTTAGTTGATGTGAAGAGGTATTTTATTTTCAATTATCATCACAACAGAATCAATAATACTTACAGTGTCGTCATATTTTTGAGTCCAGTAAACGAATACGGTGTAACACTCATTATRTAGTTATGACTAAGATCCCTATGAAAGAAGCATGAACGAAATATATATCTTATGAATTTAGGGGTCAAACTGAAGAAAATAGGCGTCAATGTTAGTAGGGTGACCTTTCTTTTTCGATTCAAAACACATGTTTTTCATAGTTGTTTAGGCTCTTGTCCAACCAGCTTATCTGAAATAGCGACGCTGAAACGATGTCTCTGAAAAACCGAGGCCTGCTAAGATTGACCAGGGAAAATAAAAACATGCGCGCCATTGCGATAAAAWTATATCTCTTTAATTAGTCACTACTGTGGAAAAAAATATCAAAGCTATGAATATGGCGGGAAGCTCTTAAGATAAAACGCTTACGCGTGCGGGAGAATGGCAAAATCCCCCCCACAACACCCACATACTAATACACACCACTATGACCCCTGTTGAGAGGATGCTGTACATGCGACAGACTGTACTAAAATGCTTACGTTTCAAATTTTACTTACATATATTGAAGATCGGAATAAATACTGTATTCTATCCGTGACAGGCGGTTCTTTGAGATCATCCTATTTTTTGTAGAAATCAGAAATATATTAATCAATAAAACAGGAGATTTGTTAAAAGTAATTGACTACATTTTTAGCAAATACGATATGGTGGCTATCCGAGAATCACAATGCTTTATGGGTCGTAGGGGGCAGAAAAAAACGAAGATGGCTAATAATAGGTAGTATTTCTTAAACGAGAGCAAGTCTTGGATCAGGGSTTCCAAACACCGAGAAACTAATGAAGGCCGTTGGCCGAGTGTTTTTATTGCTTCGAGTCGTTTGAAATCCCTGATCCAACACGAAGCTCGAGTTTAAGAAATGGCTTCTCTGATTCGTAAAAATTAATGAAAGAAAGGCCAATGCTCCCATGAGTAAATAGTAGGCAGGCTTTGTTTCTATAGGCACAATGCCTCTAACTGCATATTCTCAAACGTTGGAATAAAAATTTGTCTTGTTTTATTTATTCAAAATCAACTTCTCAATTCCAATTCGATCTTGGGCTTTCGGGGCTCCATTAAACTAGCTTTGCTAAACTAGATGCTCCTGGATAAAAATTGATTCTGTTTCTTTTTTCGTGTCTTTTATATAAATTAGTACTCAACTCAAAACTATCAACGATTTCACTGTTAGCTTAGTAAGTAAGGCTCTAGAATATCATGCCAGAGGTACCCGGTTTGAGGCACCGGAAGTTAGTTACGAATTACACCAAATGTTAGGGAAATGATTAGCTAAGTAAGTAAAGTAAGCAAGTAAGACAGGTAAAAAAAGCAGAAGGCAGTGGAGAATAAAAGGGAAAAAGAGAGTGAAGTGTAATGGAAAGAATGGGAAATTACTTTTATGCTAATGAGATCCAAAGACCATGGATTTCGATATCTGATCCAAACCCATGGGTTGATAGAATATTTTTCTAAGATGATAGTCAATTTTCTTGTTATGTCAACCATCATAGTGGGTAATCACATCGTTTTGTTTTCTTCTCGCAGTATATAAAGGCTGCCCACAACCTATATAGTTAGTTCCCAATTAACAATATAATGTAGCGTTCTTACATGGCAATTGTGTTGACTGGAGTTTTCATTGGAATCGCTGTTAATCCCTTGCAGATTATCGAAACTGGTGGAGGATTTCCTAGTACAGCCGAACAGGTACAACTGGGTGGACAATCTAAAAAGCAAAAGCAAAGCCATGTAACCAGAATTAGCAAATAATTTGATACAAATAAACAAGTCCTCTTTACATTGGACGTAAATTTTAGATCACATGTCATTCCCTAGAGTGTTAATTCTTTTTTGAGGGTAAAGGTTAGTGTCCCCCATTTTCAAAAAAAAAAAAAAACAAACAAACAAACAAAACAAAAAACAAAAAAAAAAAAACGGTCTTATTGCTTTAAAAGTCAGCCAAAATGTGCTACCAAACTGTCAAGTTATACATCTCACTATAAACGAATCATCATGATATCTCTGAAACACACAGTTTTGTGGACAAAACTAAAAATGCCAAAAACGTCATGCCTTAACAGGCCTGAGGACATAATTATAGATACAATTCAAAACAAAGAATCTCATTTTCTAGAGAATGGCACGTGATCTAAAATGGAAAAAAACATTTCGTCGACCAAAGTATAGAGATCTGCAAAACTAAAAGTTGAAGACATGAGCTGTTGTATCCTTACTTTCGATAAAGTTGCAATCCTCTGTTTCTTTTACTGAGAATAAATGCAAAAACAGGAATTCAAGTTTTGTCGACTGATGAAGAAACATGTACAGAAATATCGACAGCTTGGTTCTTTGCATTTTACTGAATGTGAAAATTAATTTTTTTTTACTATTTTTATTATTGCTGTTTTACTGATGCTGTTATTGCTCATTGCTACTGTCTTTTATAATGCAAAATTTATTGTTGTTGCTGCTGTTGTCGTTGGTGTTGTGCGATAGTTTATTTCCATGAGTGTTTAGCTTGTTGGTAGCAATTCATGTTAACAAATATATGAGAAGGAAGAAAGGTTAAGTGGAAACATACTGTGAGAAGAGTAGGACATCTTAAAGCCAGATAAACTGCGTTCATTGTCGGACATAAAGACTATGAGAAGCGAATTAGATGACGATTCCAGTAGTAGAGGAAACGAATCTCCGCAATATCTTCCCAGGATTTTTGAGCTGGAGGATGAACCATCGTATACCACAACATAATTGTCTTCACAGCTTTGGCTGTCTTGTAACTCAAAGGAAAGGAACTTCAAGCGAATAACGTATCCATTTGGCCGGGATATCCACCATTTGCATTGGATGTTATTTGGATATAAATCAGGGAAGTAAGGGGATGTGAATGTCCCTGATTGACTCGCCAACTGCACTTGGCAGCCTAAAGGAAGTAAAGAACGAAATCAAACTAATGAAAAAATAAAAAACCGCGCGCGCATGATGTGTTCTCATAAAGCATTCGCTTTCGATCAATCAAAAAGTGAAATTTAAAAATAGTTTTATAATGTATTTTAGCTACAAATTAGCTTTACGAATATCGCTACGATGTATTTTCAAAAATCTGCTGTACACAAATTACCTCTTATTTCGCATTTGCTAAAAGATGGACAATACCCAGGCTTTGCGAAATATCCTGCCAGTCCAAAAGAACCCTGACCAAGACCTACAGTTGCGCTGACTTTGATCTGAAAAACCAAAAAGAAATCATGTCATGTCCAATGCCTTATAATTAAACCAAACAAGATAAAAAGCGTGGGAGGATGCAAGAGTTGTGGACCACTATTGCTAGATTTTATTGCTGGTTTCGCTATTAGTGAGGAAGCAATTCGCCTGAATCTAAATTCAGGCTTGAATCGATATGATGGGTGATTGTTTGCTTGTTTATTGAATACTTATAATTTCTTGCTCCATATTTATTTATTTTTGGGGATGCATGTTATGCCATAGCATAGTTAATATTAATTGTGATCATAGCCACCATGTTATTTTTGACGATAACAAAGCATTTCTCGTAAGCTCCTATTGTTCTATCTTCTGTCTTCTATTAGATCAACAAAAATAATGATTATTTTATTTTTATTCATATCTCAAGTGATTTTGAGTCATGTGATTGCACCCAACGTATTGGACTTCGGATAGGATCAATGTTAGGGAGCTATACAAAAAATTTTTTAAAGATCGGCTTCCTTTACCTTAAATGTCTGTAAAGCACTCAACGACACGGTCCCAAATCTCCATAACGGTAGGCTTGTTTTGGAGGATACAGCCCATACAAGTTCTTCATTAGTCGTATTAGTATCAAGATCCTTTAGATCAGATCGGTATATCTTAAGAGATGCATTTGAGTGACCAATCACCATGTACCGGAAGTAAAAACAAAGGCTAATGGAATAATCAGCTAATGGGCTGTTGAAGACGTTGCTGATTAAGTCGCTTGCAGTTTGCTTGGTAGAGTTTAGTGTAATAAGATATCCTTTACCTGAAATAAGATAAACACATAAAAGATTGGGGGAAAAGTATAACTAACAAACAAATGTATAAGCAAAACAATAGACCTAATTCGTCTTCGAGCAATGTTTACCCAGACCATGTGCCATTTCCATGAGAATATGATTCTTTGTAGAAACACGTCGTCCGCTGAAATGGGTAAACATTATTGCTCCAAGATGAATTAGGCTTATTACAAAAATTATACACCAAATAATTACCACCAACATCAAGGCAGGTTGGCGGATAAACCACATCTTGTCGGTTGCTGAATGTTGACCAATCCACAATATCACCTCCTTCTATACCACAACCTACTGCGCGTTGAGCTATCTCTGACAGGCCCATAGCTACTGTCCATACATTCATTCCACTAATCTTTCCAACGAAGTTATCTGCTCCAACAAGTAAAATACTACCACCACCTGCACGCAGAATTAAAAACGTTAGTTCTAAAACCAGCTCCAACTGCCTACAGTCATTTGGAGGCATGAATTGACGACGAGGAAAAGATGGTGGTCCAATATTAAGCCTGGTTATAAACACAAATGTAGTTTCAAACAAACGCAGACTCAGCATCGCATCTATCATCTATAGGTATGGAAAAAGACAAGCAATGCGTTGATGTTGAACGGGGAAGCGAATTTCCGGACCACTAAATGAAAAATGTATCGTTACTCATATATGCGTTTGATAACAGTGACACAATAATTCATGACCTTTATGTTATTTTTTTATTGCAATGGCTGTCATGTTTTTATTTTTTGCTGGTTAATTTTCGTATGCTTAATGACACTTTATTTTGCAGTGACGTCATTTCCAGGTCATTATTTCAGATCAGCTGGCTGCTAGCGAGAAGCGACATTTAGCATGCTCGAACATAACCTACCTGGTATCTTTTGGTCTTTATGCCAATCGTTACCCTGTATCACGAACATTCCATCTTTGTACATCTGATAAACTCCTCCCTTTGAGGTCCACACGAGACAAAGGTGGTGCCATCTGCCATCGTTGGCTGATACACTACTTTTCCTTGAAATAGGGTTAAAATAGAAAATAATTAAGATAGTGATTGGGTGTGGGGCAAACGTGAGAGTGAGAAATACGTCCAATCAAATCATTCCACCGCCAGCCGATTAGCTCAGTTGGTAAGATCGTCTGTCTGTTGTGCGGGAGGTCGTGGTTCAAGCCTCGGCCGGACCAACACTCAGGGTTTTAAAATAACTAAGGAGAAGGTGATGCCTTTGTAATTACATCTGCAAATGGTTAGACCTTCAAGTCTTCTCGGACAAGGACTTAAAACCGTAGGCCCTGTCTCCCAACCCTTCCTAACCTACAGTAAAATGGGGGAAATAAAAAAACCTGTTGAATTATTCGTATAATAGTGGGGAATTGTCTCCCAGTTCAACAGCCTATCCCAATCTGGAGGCATTAATACTAACTTACTAACAAATCACACATGATTGTAAGCTGCACGCCTGCTACTAGCGCCTTATACGCAGCCCGTAAAGTCCTCCACTGGACATGATTGTGAAGCACATTAAGACAATGTAAAATGCGCTATATAAGAACCCCGTTATTATTAAGAATCCCGTTATTATTAAGAACCCCGTTATTATTAAGAATCCCGTTATTATTCCACGGTTTTATCAAGGATTAAATTGTGACCCACAGAAATGACAGGAAAGCGTTTTAAAACATTACTAAAACCAAATGCGTCTTATCATCAAGAACCTACTTTTCTTTGCCCATAAGTCTTATGGCTATATTCTTGTAGTTGATCAACCCAAATCCAGTGGTATTAGTGCCATGGTATCTAAAGGGAGTTCCTTGGTTTACTGTATCATTCGTCTTCATCCAAACACAGGCTGTGAATGTCTCAAGATCTGGTATAATGAAGGTGACCAATGCTTTCGTCGAAACAACATTAAATGATATTTCAAATAGGCCGGATGTAATATCTATGAAACACAAAATATAGAAATGTTGCGTTATAAATTGACATTTTTCTAGGGATTTCTATCATCCTAGATCTAAAAGAAAAAAAGGATTATGGTCTTAAGGTTTTGTACGCAAGTGCTACACCCACATAATAGAGCACTACTGTAATTCCTCTTCCAGGTACATTGCTCAATCCCGACTTTTTTGAATCCCCCTTAAAATTCCCATGTTTCGGATAACTATATTGTAACGACACACAGGTACGCTTCTGAATAATTTATTACAAAACTACTTGCTCTAACGTGAACTAACACAACTAAAACTGTCACTAACGACTACAACTACGGCTTGACCTAGGCCTACTACACTTCAATATCATAAAAGTCCTTAGTAGAAGTCAGAAACTGGGCTTGGTCACTGCCAGAGTTCCTTCTTGTCCACATTGTTTTACTTCTACGTCACTCCGAATCAGTGTGAAGAAGTGTGGAGTTGGTCATCATTAGGACGTTTGTATAATGGCGTTACTTGCATAACGCCACTCCTCCTTTTTATGTTAATATTCTTTGCAAATAGTGTGAAAATCGGTGTCAATTAACTGAACCAAAAAAAGTGCGCAAAAAGTAAGTCACAAGAAATGCTTTTTTACAAGACGACGTTTTGAATAAAACCACTAGGCTTAATCAGGCGTGTGCAAAGTTATCATGATGTGATTTTTGTTACTCTAATGGTTGGGAGCATTAATGACAATTTTGGACACAACAGGCCGGTAGTCACGTGTTCTTCTGAAGCAACACGTCCGATAAAGACTAGAGGTTCATAGCTATAGCCGAAACGTCGCCTGGTAATAAAGTAAAGTATGTATATAAGTATATTAGATATTCAAGGAACATATATAGATATAGTCCTTGAGTTCGTTATGACCAGGGACATATGGGATAAAAAGTTCTACAAATATAAACTTTATGACTAATTAGTTACCTAGACCGACTATTTTTTTTTCACTTACAACTGGATATGTGCAAGGGCTTCTGGTAGTAGGAGTCAAATTACGCCAACATGCAAACGTCCTATTATCTTCTAAATTTAAACAGGGAGTCACTAAACCGACTAGATTTTTAGTCTTTAAGAAAGCCAACCCATATCTTTCTCGCTATAAACGAGAACATGCATACATAAAATGATGGCAAAGCTTACCAATAATAGAACCATTAACGTTATCCTGGTTAAAGACGACATCACTAGAAGACAACCTTGGAGACCACATGACGTTCGATGGCGAACCACGGACAGGGGTCCATTGTGGAGTTGGTTTCTGTTTGCCATAATTAACTCTGCAGTCCACATGATTTTCTAGGAATTGCGAAAAGAGAGCAATACCTCTTCAGAAGATGTGATCATAAAATGTAAAAAGGGACTTAATTCTTGGGGTGCAACCACGACTCAAACATTCCTTGAAAAAAATCTGAATGAAACAGCCGCTTTGTTGGTTAATCTAACAAGAGAAGCTAATGAGGAATCCTTGTTATCGTCAACCAGCGTGGCGGTTATGATGTAAAATGCACCTCAATAATAATAGTTCTAGCTAAAACACTATAAAACTTTCCCGATTTTGAAACGATAATGGCTCCAATTAGTCGAAGTTGTTCTTTAAAAAAAACGCAGTACCGTTAAATTAATTATAATTGTACAATAAATGTATAAAAGAATAAAGTCTGACCTCGACTTCAAGCATTTGTTTCATGGTCACTTAAGCGAATTGGTAAAGGCATATCTCCACAGCCATGATTTTTTTTTTTTTTTTT